AACTTTATTTTTTTCACTAAAACTTATGCAAACTTCTGAGTTTTTTTTCCACGTAATTTCATGACTGCAAGTAAGGTCTTGGTTCCACGAATTTGTCTGTGAGTTCATTGTGTAGTCGTGAGTTGACCATGTAATAACCGATAGTCAGTATTTAAAAAACAGGGATGTTTGTTACAGGTACGCGAAAATCAGTGTAAAAATAAAGAAAGAAAGAAGGCATTAGTTGCCTGAAACCCAACCATGTGTGCTCCAGCGCGCCTCTGTTTCTCATTGCCTCATCTCTAGTTCCTGTACTTTTAGATGTGTCACAGTAAAAAAACAACACTTGGTGCTTACCTGATTAGTGTGTGCGTGCGACGCGTTTGCGTGAAGGCGAGCGTCTCCATCGTTCAGGCCTGCGAGCGGCCGCGGCGACCGTGTCCTCTCACCAGCTGGGCGGCGTTGTCGACGCAGGTGAATCAGTTGTCCAGCTTTGAGGCGGCGCCCTCCATGAACCGGGGCGCCCCCCACTTGATTTTTTGGCCCACTTATACTGGTCCAGGATACTCAACGTTGCCCCCACTTGAAGGGCGTCGGCGGTTGTGGTTGTCAGCGTGGGTGTTATGGACGGAGTTGAAGTCGACGCGAATGCCGGTGGTTCCCGGAGAGCATGCCAGGACATGGACAAAGTCGTTGCAATCAGTATAAAAGTGACCTAGCCTCCAGGCAGAAGATGAAAGCGGCGACAACACGTGTGTGTGTTCGGAGGAAGCCGCAGCTCCTCCTCGCGTGTCTCCCACTGTGGCTCGCATGGGTGGTGGGCTGGTGACGGCAGGCGACTCGCGATCACGATTCCCGAGACGATAGGGTGCGCGATTAGTTTCCTAATAATTAGATACGTTCATAATTAGTTATCTAATAGGATGCGTTCGTGATTAGTTTTCCTAATAATTAGATGCGTCCATGATTAATTTTCTAATAGGATGCACGTGATTATTTTCCTAATAATAGGATGCACTCGTGATTAGTTTCCTAATAATAAGATGCGTTTGTGATTAGTTTCCTAATAATTTGATGCGCCTGTGATTAGTTTCTTAATAGGAGTGTCCATGATTATAATTTTCTAATTGACCGGACGTGGACTTTCATATTTTCCTCCGCGGTGGAGTACGGTCAGTCAATGTAAATTGCTAAGTGCACACAGAGAACAAACTAGGTTAATGCTAGCAGTTAGATTGAGTTTAGTAAGACTAATCATGCGGTGGTAATATATCCGTATACGTTTTGTGGGGTGCACTTAGAGAAGATAATGTTTGCTCTTTTATAAGTAGTATAGATATATAAAGTAAACATCACCAGACAATCCGATTCAAACTCACACCATCACAACACAACATACACACCCATATCCAAAAAAAACGACATGTTGAACAATCGAACACATGACCTTAAAGACCCGACCAGGTCCTGCTAGCCACGGCAACAAACGCCTACTGCTAACCAACGGCCAACGCGAATACATAAGAACATACTGCAACGTCGGGTTTAAAACATTTTTTGAACTTTTTTAAAAATATGAATTGCCGAATATTATGGGAAACATGAACATTTTTAAAATTTTAAACAATATTTTTAATATTATGTCCAATTTGGAGAAAACATGAACAAAATTTGAAATAACATCATTTTTTGAAGACATGAACCTTTTATCAAAACAATTTTTTTTAATTTGTCACCCACTTTTGAAAACGGGTCATGTTCTGATCATTAAGAACAATTCTATAAAATGTGTTTTTAAACACGTACGTTATATTGAATCTGTGAACATTTACTAACCAGAATATATTTCCAATTTTAATATGTTTTAAGATGCATTTTTTTGCAAAATCGCAAACAATATTGGAATATTTTCTGAATTTGAAAAAAAATCCGTACGAGAAAAAAATTAATGTTCCAAACATTTTTAAAAACAGGAAGACAATATTGTTATTCTGGACATGTTTTGAATTTTTTACAAAAAATAAAATTCTGAACTTGTTTTGAAAATTTTGAATTACAAAATAACATAAAAATAAAACAATTGGAAGGAAAAAAACAGGCCGACCCAGTCTTGGAGGCCCTTTGCGTAGCTCCGGCTATGTGTCATGCAGGGCGAGAAATAGGATTTTTGCAGCTACGAGGGCAGGCAAATAAGTGGGCTGGCTTCGCTGGGCCACAGGTGAGCGGCCCAAGTACGAAATTCTGGATTGCTAAAAAAATAACGGACACACATAAATTTAATACCACCTCGGATAAAAAAATAAATTTCAACGGTGAATGGATGGAAAAAATCGGAGAAACGCACATTGCTTTATTAGTAGGTACAGATATATATTTTGATTTTTTAACACTATTTTATTTTGATTTAGTAGCTATGTTTTTCTACGAATTATTAAGCAATTTGGTGGGCGTGATAAAAAATGAGGGTTACTAATTTCTCTCTCCAATTTTTTTAGAATCCCGCGCCATTGCAAGGCATATTCTTTGCAAATGCAATCCTGAGCTTCTAGGAGCGGGCAGCCTCAAGGAGTCGACGATGGTGGACGTATGGGTCGACGTGGATGCCCACTAGCTCGAGCCCATACTCAAGCCCATCGTGTTTAACTGCATCATCAACCGGTTCGTCGGGAGGGACGTCGACAAAGGCCTCGTTAATGAGAGCATCGAGAAGCTGAAGAAGCTGCTAGAGGTGTATGAGGCGAGGCTGTCAAGCAGCAAGTACTTGGCCGAGGATCTCGTCAGCTTTGCCGACCTCACTCATTTCTCCTTCATGCGCTACTTCATGGCGACGGAGCACGCGGTCGTTCTTGACGCATACCCGCATGCTAGGGCGTGGTGGGAATCGTTGTTGGCAAGGTCGTCCGTCAAGAAGGTGATAGCTGGCATGCCTCCGGATTTTGGTTTCGGGAGCGGCAACATACAACGATAAGGCATGCTTGTGTGTTTGTGATGCTCTTATCTCTACCGAACCCACGAGAAAATAAGTAAGCGAAGTGTGGGTGTGGATATAAAATAACTTGTTTCGTTGAATTGTTCTCTAATATCCCGTAGAAATTGACTCCCAAAAGAGCAAGTGCAGGGTCTATGCCTTCTTTTTTCTCAACAATACCATGGATTTTCACACCAATGTTGTCGCAAAATTAACTAAAGATATACTATGTGGTTCTCTTCTCAAACAAGAAGTAACATGGGAATCACGCCCGCTTGAAATATAAGGAAAAGTAGAAAAAAACTCTCTACCGAACCCTAATTGACGCAAAAGGTGACGAAGTAGCCATGTTAAGAAAAGGGATTCTTGTCATAATAGTAACCATCTAGCCCGTCTCCGCACTTCAGTCTTGGAGGAGGGTGCTTCTAGAAGATGATGTCTCCCTTCTAAAAGATGAACTGCGAGAAGAAAAGCTACATTTTAACCATCTGCTCATATTGCACTTACCCAAGAAGCGATTACCCGAAAGGAAGAAAATGGGAAGACATACATCAGTCATTGGGATATTTGCGCTTCTTGACCAACACATGAACAGGGCCAAATGGTTAGTACAGAGGAGGGACGGATGCGATAAATAGTTGCATGTCACTCCATTGTGCGTGCTCTGATATTTGAAGAACTAGATGATGCCTCGCACGTTGTTGCGAGAATATTTTGCAATATGTCAATGAGGTTTTTGGTTATACGAAAGATCAATATTTCAAATAGTAGCTTTTGAAAGTATATAAGAATTAAATGTAAATAGCATAATAGAATGAAATTTCACATGCATGCATGGTTGCATGTTGAAGTGGATTTTTAATATGCATGGCTGCATGTTGAGGTGGACCTCTTCCTATGCATATTGAATGATGATGTGGCATGCTTGCATGTTGAGAGAAATATATTAGTGGGGGCTAGCTATTTAGATATAGAATATGTCGAGGGGTGAATCATCATTCTGGCAAGGTTATATTTGAATAAAGATAATTGTGACAAAAGCGTTTGCGCATGAGCTAGCTCCAATGGGCAAGGACAATTCATGAGAGCTGTAGCTGGATATTCTCCCTAATTCGATTTTCAATTTAGTTGACAATGTAACTATTGTTTGAGTTTTTTGGGGCAAATAAGTATTATATTATTTAAGTTGATAAAATTAACCGATGCAATATCGTTTTGAGTCCCCTTGGATGAACAGGAATATGAGGACAAATATCTAAATATAAAATACATGTTTCCAACATCACGTGCGAATTTTCGTGAGAAAGCAAAACATGTTGTGATCTTTCGGGGGAACATAACAAAATCTATTCTATGAAAAGTAGCTTTTCCGGACCAAATTTTCTTTCTGTCCAGATCACAACGTGTGTTGTTTCCACACGATTTTTTTTTTTGAGAAATACATCTTTAGAAAACAGATATTTCGATTGTCTTTTTTCTTCTTCTGGTGTTACTGTTCACTTGAGAGGACGTGAGAGCTCTGTTTCGAATTTTCCAATTGACGGATGGCCTTTTCGTAAAAACAAAACCTTTCCCCGAATCCCCTCTCCCTCTCTCTCGGCGGCGGCGGCGGCGGCGGTGACGGCGAGTTGTAGGTCAGTGCCTCCTCTCATCTACCTCCCCGGGATGCCCTGCCCCCCCTCTCTCTTTCTCTCTCTCTCTCTCTCTCTGCGCGAGCGGCGGCGGAGGTGGCACCGGAGAGCGGGGGGCGGCGGGGGCCGAGAACGGAGACCGGTCGTGCAGCGCCGCCCGCCGCCCGCACGTGCAACCTGGCGCCATAGCCGTTATCGCAACATCGTTCGCTCCCTGCCCCTCCCCCTGTCCGCGCTGCATTTTTCTCACCTCTGACTGATGCGACTCTGTAATGGACAACACTGTATCCCAAGCTCAAACCTTTTCAGCTTATACGATGAACATGAAATTAGCTCCAGGCGATTCTGAACTATAATCCCTAGCTCATATGGCATGCGTTTTGCAGGGTTTGATGCTCTGAGGTTTCTCCGGCATCGGTGCCATGGCTCCGCATTACCAGGCCACCACCCTGATTGCCTCCCCGTCCTACCCAGACGCCATCACCTGGTCAAGCGACAACTTGGTGGCTGTTGCCTCTGGCCACATCGTCACTATCCTGGTACGGGCAATTTCAGCACCCTATTGCGCTGCATTCACTTCTTTCTCAGGCATTATGATAATTAGTCTGTTGGATTGACCTTTGCATTCGTTATGTTTTCCTTCTAGAACCCGGCAGCACTTGACGGGCCTCGCGGACTCGTTGTGCTTCGCCCTAGGGATCCTTTTCCCATCGGAGTGGTTAACAGGGAAGGTAGGTCCTATGTTGAATGCGTATTGTAGTACATGTTAGAAGAGTACTCATGCAGTTTGATAGGCACAATGGGGTGAAATAATTATTTCATCCTGAGAGTCTTTTGATTATGGTTGCATGGTCATTATAATAAATCTTGTGAGAATTCAACTCGTAGTGTTAGTTTGGACACATCGTAAGCAATTTGACATTTTGAAACGAGGAATTCAGTCAGTGCTTTTGTTGAGATCGTCAAGGGCCAACTCCAAAGGACGATGATGATTGATATATCGATTTGTTTCAATCTGTGGCAAATATTGAAGAATTGTTCAGGTGTAGTGTAATAACAAGTTTGTTAACATTGATATTGCAGTGAGAATATGATATGCTAGTATGCTGTTCGAATGAAGTGAAAATACCACTTGTTTTTTTGGGACTATAATAGAATATCTGGATGACATTTCAGAAGTTGGCTACTTTACAACAATTGAAAAACAGAAATTTTTGTTTCATTTGAAATCTTCTGAACATTTGCAGATCTCTTTGAACCAAGTTTAGTGCCAACATCCTTAGCGCGTGATACTGAACCATGTGCACGGTCTGTTTCATGGTCTCAACAAGGATTTGCTCCTAATTCTGGGTAATTTCTGTTGACTGATATATTAGATTCATGTATTCATCTTTTCGCCTAATATTTTTGTATATGGATCATTATTTCAGTTGTTTGTTGGCTGTCTGTACTGTTGATGGTCACGTGAATCTTTACCGTCCGCCAGTTTCTGAATTTTGTGATGACTGGGTTAAGGTAAACCTGTTTGGCTAAAGTAGTTCATATTAAGGCATCTGGAGTTAGAATCGGTACCCACCATATTTCTCATTTTTCTGTATACTTGGGACTAAAGTTTGCATGATCCTTATGCATATGGACCCTATAATAATTTATTTATATCAATAGCTCACCATTAACAGTTTCACCTAGTTTGCAGTCAAGTTTTATATGTTAATACCTTTTTTTAACCTGTTACAAACAAGAAACTTGTACATTACAATTTTTGGGTCATAATATTTTTCATTTTTATTAATCTCCCACAAGTTTGTTCTTGCCAAAGTTAATATTTCCTGTTTTCATTTCAATTTTATTTTCTTCTGTCATTGTGGAGTTATCACTTGGTCTAGGCCACATCTACAATTATGCTCATCAACTCCTAATTGGTTGGTTAGGTTGCGGATATATCTCAATTGTTGTTTAACTATTACCAAAATATTAACTTCGGAGAGGATGATGGTCCAGATTCATTTCCTCAGGTACGCTCCCTTCCACCTGAGCACTGAGGTTTCCCTGATTATTGTAGAATTTTGTTGTTGACAGTTTTCTCTCGTACATTAGGAAAAAGCAAATATTGACCACGCTCCTCAGGTATGCTCCCTTCCACTTGAACACTGTGATTGGTTTTCTTGATTATCATAGAATATCGTCATGATTTTTTCCCTTCATATATTAGGAAAAGTTAAATAACAAGCACACACTGGACACAGGATACGCCGATGAATTGCAAGAACCTCTTTCTCGCAGGGGTCCTGGACGGAGAAAAAGGAAGCCAGTAAGGTGAATGGTACTGTCTGTTAAATCATCAAAGCTTTACAATTTTCACTGAAAAACATAACCAAGTTTTGAAAAAAAACAAGATAATCCAAAGGGGTTAGTTCAAGAAAAATGATAAGATCGATTCACATGCCTTAGTGGCTTGGTGACAGGGAAGTAGTTTCTGTGAAAAGATTTGCATGCCAGGACAGTTCTAGATCATATTAACAGCGACTGTAGAGAAATATGGGTCTAGAAGTTTGCTCTGGGCCTCACACTTCCAACACTTCTTTTCTGGGAGACAGATTATACCTTTATTGCATTTGGCATTTTCTCTGTGAGTGAAGTCCAATGCTTAGTGAGCAATGTTGGCCTCCAATCATAAGAAGTTAGTAGATTGCAGTAACAGAGCACCACTGGTTTGCAAAGCCCTTATACCTAAGGAGCTCGAAAAGGAATGACCATGCCACAGTATCTAAGGCTCTAGCTATGTCGAGCTTCAGCAATAAGCATTGACATATCTTTTAGTAGAATTGAAAAGGAGCATTCAAAGTTTTGCCATGTTTACAAAGCACCTAAACCTGGCTCATTATCTAAAGGAATGTATGTCACCTTGTGTGGTTATAAATCTACGCTGCAATGGGAAAGCTATGCACGTTTTTCTGTTGTAGTATTGATAGTTAATCTGAGAAATAAGGCAAGCCAAGCTAAGGGTGCACGTCATTGCTAAAAGCTATTCATCTTAGCTATTATCTAGTGCCAACTGTTGATATATCAGCCTCATGTAGCACACATAAATAAGGTACATAGGGGTGTTCGGTTTCAACTTTCAAACCCATTACTATCATATGTTTTGGTCTTCAACTGATTTATTTTATTTTCATTTGAAATGCCAACATTTGTGCCTGAATGACCATTCAAAACAATTTTGTGCCTGAATTTTTTTGAAGTGGATTTTGACTGATTGTAGAGTTGAAGGCTATGTTTATGATGATGATGATGATGGAGATGATACTTCAAAGGATGCAGACTTCTCTCTGAATCCATGCCCTACATTAACGAAGATACCTATGAAAAAGGTAGTTTTTACATGTTGATATGTAGGCTTATGTTCAGTTTAACTTGATTTATTTGAGAAATTTGACAAAATGACACAGTTTTTCTTTGACTTTGCTTCAAAGGCACATGTTCCATTATCTTTGCTAAAATGACACATTTGGATGACAAGTAGACAAAATGACACAGTTTGTGTTTTTTCTTCTCATTTTTGTGTTTTAGGGCCACATGTCAGACTTTGTTGGATGAATATGCCCTCTGCTCTTTCTTCTCTCCAGGTTGCACGTACTGGCCCTAATCAATCGACCGGTCTTTTTTAGATTGAAATGGGAGCATGCTACAGAAAAAATACCAGGAACATTTTCGTCCTAAAAACTCTGGCATGTGACCTCATCAGAATGAAAAAAATGAGAAAAAATAACACTGTCATTTTGTCTAACTGTCATCCAAATATGTGCGATTCTGGCAAGGACAATGAAAGGCGTGCTTCTAGAGCAAAGGCATAGGAAAAGCGTGTTATTTTGTCAAATTGTTCTTATTTTGAACTCACAAACATGGTTCTGATTCTGGATTTAACTTTGGCCCAATTGTGATTCCAGATTGACAGGCCTGTGCATCAAATGGCTGTCGTAATTGCGCAAGCTGGCTCACAAAATACCAAAGAAGCATTCTCTTGCAATGGAGAAAACAAAATTCTTCCTCTGATCACAGCAAAACAATATTCACGTCGCAATGCACTTTTGTCTTCTCTCGTAGTTGCATGGTCACCAGTTTTGCCATCACACAACGCTATTTCTCATTGGTGCACTCTTGCTGTTGGCTCAAAGTCTGGGGATGTTTCATTTTGGAAAATAAATAAGCCCGAGCACTACACGATAGATGTTTGCACTGTTACCAAAGATCCAATATTCGTTGGGGTTCTTCAAGCTCATAATTCATCGGTTTGTGCCATGAGCTGGGAAGTTTCATGTTCAAGATCTTCAAAGTCTTCATTGCTTTTAGTAACTGGATGCTCGGATGGAAGGTAAGCACATTATACTTATTCTTTGTAAATGTTGCAAACCTATCATTTGTCTTTAAATGGTTTCATTGAGCTTGATTCATGACATGTGGAAAAGGATAACTATGTTTAATTAATTAAATAAGATGTTTCGTGCTATTTCGCAAGAAGTCCTGGATGCTAGATCAGCAGCATAGAACCTGCGCGATCAATGATTTTCCATGAACTTTTTTCAGTGTGAAGATATGGTCAGGTGACATCGAAGGATTGAATCAATGTACAGATGCGAAAGAAGTGTCATTTTCGTTAGTTGCAGAGGTACATATTAAGCAACATCTTGTACCTGTGTTTATATTTTGTTGCATATAGGTGGATATTCGACCCTAATTGATGCAACATCCAATGAATATAGGCATGCTTGTCTTTAGCTTTATTGTTGTGGCTGCTCTAATTATATACTCAATTCTGAAATGTTCCTCTCTTCAGGTGACCACTAATTCATCAGCTCCTGTCTCATCAATTTCATTGTCCACACCAGCTCAGCCTCGACGCGAGGTTAATTTGGCAGTTGGAAGAGTATCTGGATCACTGGAAACATGGATATTGGACCTGTGCAGCAACAAAGTTGAGAATAGCAGTGAATGTCATGCACATGATCGAGTGGTAACATTTCATTGTAATCGAATGCCTTTTCTCTCCAATAAAATTCAACTAATTGTCAACACTACCATAGGTGACAGGTTTATCGTGGGGTTTAGATGGCCACTGTTTATACAGCTGCAGTCAGGTGCATTAACTTGTCGCAACTCTGTGATTATTCCTTCTGATTGTGGTAGGGTAAAAAAAATTAATCATGAAATTGTGTCCTCTCCTATGGCTCCTAGTAGGTTACCTTAGCCGGTCCCTTGGCTCCCACAGGGAGCGGCAATACTACTATGTGAAGTCCTAACAAATTTTGTTACTATGGTAGTATGGGTAGTATGTGCGGATTTGGTTGTTAAAGTTACTGAAACGCTCCAAATATGCTAGAATTAACAACATAATCATTACTTATATTGTGAGATGGATACTGATGTCAAGTTGTCAACTGGCAACCAATACCATGTGAACATCCCATGTCAATGCCATCATATGACATGTTGCTATGGCATGTTGAAAGTTATTCCAAGCTAAAAGGCTAGTTAACCACTTGACCTAGTTATGGATAATTAGTCAATGACTGCTGTCTTGGTCCCTTGACATATATGTTGTATTAGTACTGTTGGCTATGTACTAGTAGTACTGTGCTTATCCTGATACCTTTTTGGTACTGTTATTCAAGCTTCGTTTCAAACTTGTAACTGCTAAACATTTACAAGTCCCTTTAGATGTCTTATGTATTTGATGGAGTTACTTTAGTTTTTCACAAATATGCTTCTAATAATAACTCCCTTGTCCATGTTCTTTTCTTGCACCTGAATTGTATTATACTGCACAGTATTATTTTGTGTCATCCTAAACTTTGCTTTTCATGCGGATTCTGCAAAATTTCCATCTTTATCAGGATAATTCTGCACGCTGTTGGATCTTTGGAAAAAATCAACTTGAAGAAGTTCCCGTGCACACAAATTTCCCAGAGCTAAAAGAATCAATAGACGTAAAACTGAGACTCCTCGTTGACCTTCGTTTTTTTCCTGAATGTGTGAGCTTGTATCACACTAACTGGTATCTCAAATGTTCATGCAGCTCTCAGTAGTATCTCATCAATGCTTTGGTCTTACACTTGCACCTGGAGAAGTAATGATTGCTGTGGTATGCTGTTGGTTGTTCCTTAAATCTGACATATGTTGCTCAACTGCGACTTGTGCACTTGAGCTTGTGTACATATGCTACACCAATTGATGGATATTGTCTCTTTCAGGTCCGCAGCTTGGATCCAAATATGCTAGATCAGATGTATCAAGCCAGGTATTATTTATGAGCTTAGTATAGGATGTACTGGGGTCTTGTAATAGAAATCTTCATGTATTGACTGCTTTGGGATAAAAGTCCATCATCAATTCATCATGGTAACGTTTTGGTGAACAAAAACAACAGGACACAAAAGGCAGTGGTTGAGTTCATTTGGATTGGTGGTCAGTTCCTTGGCATTCCACTAAACAAGGACATTTATATCTCCAACAAACAATCTGCAAAGTCATCCGAGACTAACTTCTTATGGTGGGGTTCCAACATTCTTTGGTCATTGAAGAATTATGAAAAATGTGAAACTGGACTTGTCTTATGGGACGTCATAGCTGCTTTACAAGTGCTCATGAAATCCGCACCAGCATTTCTGGAGACACTAATGCATAAATGGGTCTCAGATTTGTTTTCAGATGATCAACAACGTGTTTCTATCGATAACCTGTGTCAGTGTAGAAAGGACATGATGTCCAATGTCAGCTCGCGGAAGCTACACCTGCTGAATATCATTTGTAGGAAAGTAATGCTTCGTGATCCTGCTGGAGAAAATGGTAATAGGACGTCAACTGATTTGTGGAGCAGTCTTCTGTTGAGCAGCGAAAGAGAGCTACGAGAGAGACTTGTGGCTTTCACTTTTGCTGCTGTCTTGAATCGAAAGTCATATTTTCTCAAGGGCACATGTGCTGAAAACATGTGGTTCCCTGTTGGCGTTGCCCAGATGCGTTCTTGGGTGTCTATGAACAGTGGAGGAGTGCATAATCAGCTCAGGTCTCTCAGTTCGACAATTAAACGTCTTGGTAGCAGGTATTCAGTTTTGCTAGATTCATTGTTCATCTACTCTATAAGCTGATTTCACTACTTCAAGGAGCTAAAGTAATCTACTCCCTCTGTCCCATAATATAAGAACGTTTCTAACACTACACTAGTGTCAAAAACGTTCTTATATTATGGGACGGAGGGAGTATTAGTTTTGTCAGTTCATTGAACTGTAAAATTGGGCATTCAGTATACCTGCTCTAAATTGTTTTTCTGTTGCAGGATCAACTCTGTGTGTGAATACTCAGCTAAAGAAACATGTGCCTATTGCTCCGCACCGGTTCACTTCGAGTCACCTGACATAGCCTTGTGTGGAAGTGTCGATCCTGCTATTGTTCCCACCGAAAGGCACAAGCTGTCAAGATGTGCAGCATCGATGCGCTTATGTTCTGTTCTGGAACCAACCTGGTACTGTGTATGTTGTGGAGGAATGGTTGATAAGCTTGTGCCCGAGACCTATTTCACCATGAAGACATCTCCCTTGTTGGATGCTGCCGATCCAGATGATGAATCGTCACTTTATTCAGCACCTGCTGTTCCTCGTTGCCCCTTCTGCGGCATACTGCTGCAGAGGTTGATGCCAGAGTTCCTGCTCTCCGTCTCCCCGGTATAAAAGCTAGTGGGACTCTTTTGCTCAAGTGCACGTCGTCTCTTTTTGCATTATTGTGCGTTTTGTTCTTTATTCCTAGAGGCTGCCAAAAAAGGATCGGAAGCAACGTCATCCTGTGTAAGTCCTGAATTTCTTTTATCTATCTGTTTAAATTATTGAGCTCCAAACACCCTTTTAACACATGATTAGGAAGTTTTTACGGAATATGACCAGGAACAATATGAGCTTTATCTTCCGTGCAGCATGCAGATTATATTACTCTACTTTTTAATAGACCTGTTATTAGGCTTTTGGTTGATTGTGGCACTGAGTTTCTTATAATGGTATTTCAGCGACAGCATGATTGTTCTTGGGGAGATGCTTGTTGGTCAGCGCGCGCAGTGGCATCTGTAGCTTCGGTAGAGATCGAGGAAGAGCCAGATAGTCTAAAGGCAAAAGGAAATGGCTCAATAGAAGACAGCGGTGCACAATCTTCATGTCCCATGTTGGAACATGACCCATAGTTGCCGTGCATATTAATGTTTGCTTTTATCATGCTGTACATATTAATGGCTCAATAGAAGACAGCGGTGCACAATCTTCATGTCCCATGTTGGAACAAGAGGTCTGGCTTGTTATCATGCTGTACATATTAATGTTTGCTTCTTTTTTTTTTTCCTTTTGTCGACGGTCCAAATGGCTTCTAGGACTCGTAACTGGTCAAGTGTTTTAGCATACGATGTTCACAAGATTACTTTCCATTGCTGAGCCGTGGACATAAGAGTTCATGTCTCGATTTATAAGATTTTATAGGCTTTTCATGTCTTGATTTATATGATTTGTCATTTTAGCTTTTTGTGAGGCTGTGCTTCAGATTGTTGGTTACTTACATATAATCGTCAAGCAGCGTGTAAATTTGGCAAAAAATTGCGGATAGGCTGCTAGCGAGGGACTGGCCTCACCCTGCTCGCTGCATGTTGTGTGACCAAGTTGCCGAGACGGCGGCCCATCTCATGATTCTTTTGCTAAGGAGATTTGGCATGCTTCTCCAGAACCGACGACAAGGCGTCCAACTTTGCCTTGAGTACCATTTCCATCTTGGATTGGTGGCCTAAGTCTCTGGTAGCATATGTGGCATGGAACCTTTGGACGGAACGCAATCGCCGTAGTTTTGAGGGGGAGAGATGCTCCTCGGAAACAGTTGCGGACATGGCAGAGATGAGATTTCGCTGTTTTGGGAGGCTATCAATTGAGGCCTGCCCATCTGTGTTTTATTCTGTTCTTGTTATTTTCCTGGGTCATTTCCTATTTTGCTTCAGTTTGAGGCCTCTTTTGGTATAGGGTAGGAAAATCATAGGAATAGGAAAGTCATAGGAAATGAGATGACATGTACCTAGAAAAGGAGATGCTTTTTGGTTCACATCATATGATTTTTTCCATTGAGTCTAGACTAATGTTTATTTTCCTATGAAATGTGGAGGATAGGAAGAATTCCTCCACAGGAATATGATTTCATTCCTACAAACCAAAGGGCTCTAAAGGAATTTTTCCTACAGAAATCCTATCTTATGAAATTCCTATAAGATTCCTCTAAACCAAAGGAGGCCTGAGTTTTGTGTGCTTTGCCTGTATCCTGTGGTTCAGCGGCATTGTTTTGTACTGATGTTTGGGGCCTTGGTCCATACCCCTTCCCCTTCTTTATGAAATTGGCAGTGCCCCTGCCGTTGCCTGTAAAAAATTTGGCCAAAAATAGTACTCCCTCCGTCCTATAATATAAAAGCGTTTTTTTACACTACACTAGTGTAAAAAATGTTTTTATATTATGAGACGGAGGGAGTATTGTAGTATAACATATATACAGATGTGAGGAGGTTTGTTCGATTTTGGAGGATCATAATCCCCCATCTGCCGGGAGTACTATCTTATTTTGTGCTATTTATGCTGGAATGTTTAAAGACTGCTCCGGTAATTGAATAGTGACTTTGACAGTGCAGGCAGGCAAGTAATCTAGATCTAGCGGCTGGTGGCTCCTAACATCTAGTGTCTGGCCACAGAATTGTATGAACCCTGAAGGACTTTGACCGTAGGCTCTATGGTATGGCCAAAAACATCTCTAGATTACTGCCGGTTGAGTGGTGTCAGTTGCAGCAACAGAACCGGCCATGTCATCAAGCTCCGTCTATGCAATACAAGTCCGTGAATCGATGGGCGCGGTGATGCTAATTCATTGTTCGGCGAGATAAGTCCCTCTCTGCTTTCCTTGAAGCATGTAGAGCACATGGATCTTGGCATGAACTGCTTGCTAGGGCCAAACACCCACATTCCTCTGTTCTTGGGCTCCATGGAGAACCTGAGACATCTTAGCCTCTCTGGGGTGCCATTTACTGGTAGAATTCCTTGTCAGTTTGGTAACATGTGCAGCATCTTGACCTTGGTCAGGATGATTATTCTGAAATGTACTCAACGAACATCATCTGGTTAACAAAGCTACCTTATTGAGCGGAATAAATCTCTCGAGTATAGCTGACCGGCCTCGTACCTTGAATATCGTTCCATCTCTAAGTGTTACCAACCTTGCTGAATGTTCACTTGATACTACACAATCGCTTCCCTTCCTCTTTTTTTTTTTCTGAATGTATCGCTTCCCTTCCTTAACCTCACGAAACTTGAGAAGCTTGATCTGTCCTTGAATTATTTAGACCACTCAATTGTGCCAAGTTGGTTTTGGAAAGTGACGAGTCTGAAATACCTCAGTCTTGGTGGGAACCAGTTATTTGGGGAATTTTCGGACGCACTAGGAAACATGACGTCACTCAGGGTACTTGATTTGTCAAACAACAATCTGAATAGAACTGGAAACCTTCAAAATCTTCTTAAAAACCTTCGCTGTTTGCAAATCCTTGCCCTCTCTGAAAATGTTATGAATGAAGATATAGTGGTGTTGATGGAGGGGTTGCTGCAATGTGCACATGAAAAGTTGCTGGTTTAGAGGACTTTAAAGCACTGATGGAGGACAAACTTTGTGATTGGTTTTGGAATACATTTTCACAGACAGATACATTTCTGAAAATATTTTGCTATGGAGAATCTCTGAACTTGACTTTAAAGCACTGTTTAGAGGACAAACTTTGTGATTGGTTTTGGAATACATTTTCACAGACAGATACATTTTCACAGACGGCTCTTGACATCTCTAATAACCAAATAAGTGGCAGCTTGCCAACACATCTAGATGGCATGTCTTTTAAAAGACTCTACCTAAGTTCAAGTTCAATGCCTTGGTTGCTGACAAATATCAACAGGTTCGACATCTCCAACAATAACTTTTCAGGACTGATACCTTCACATTTTGACGCTCCCCGGCTTCAAATGTTGCTTATCTATTCAAATCGAATTGGTGGGTACATCCCAGAATCTACAGTTATTGAGCCTAGATTTGTCGCACAATGTTTTGGCGGGTGAAATTTCTCAATGTTTTGACATGCAAAAAATACAATTTCTTCTGTCCGGTAACAACAGAAAATTCTCGGCATTTTTGCAGATTCACAGATTTGGAGTTTTGGATCTTGCATGGAACAAGTTGTCTGGAAGATTGCATACATGGATAGGAGATCTGGGGAAATTATGTTTGTACTTTGGACCACACTGCAATTTTTTCTGATATTCCAGTCAACGTAGCAAGCCTTATGTACAAGAAAAAAAAGCATTCTACACAAAACAGCATCGCACCTGAAAATATGCTATTAGCGCGCTATAGCATGCTATTAGACATTGTACACTGATCAATTTAGCGAGACAACTCTCTACACACTGCTGGAATTTAGTCTATTTTGGGCAGCCCAATAACTATTTCAGAAATTCCTAATAAATCCAAGAGGCCCACTTAGCCCATTTTTGTGCAAGGCATGGGATACTACTAAAGTTTAGTCCCACATTGCTAGTTTAGTGGGAGTTGGACCTCCTTATAAGGGAGGTTCTTTCCCCACTTGTATGAGCATGAGAACAAGAGGGATATCCACGCGCGCTCCTCCTCCGCCGCCCGCCTCGTCACGGGTTGCGGGAATGAGCCGAGCCGATATCTAAATTTTTGCCACGCACTACGGGTATACGAAAGGTCACACGGAAGCTGAAAAGATTTTTTGCGAAAGTGGAGTTCGAATGCGAACGGTGCAGCCCTTCGGCTGCTGGCTGTTCGCTTCATCTCCGTCTCTTCGTTTCACCTCCCGTCGCTGCCCTCTCGCCTCCTTCTCTTGCGCCTATAAAAGGGAGGTCACTCCTCCCAGAGAGACGCACCAGAACTACTCCTTCCCTCGCCATCGGTTCCATCACCGAGCTGCTGTTGTCTTCCTCATCCCGACTTGCGGCGTGCACCACACGTCGGGATAGTAGGCCTCCGAGACCGCACCTTTTGAGTCCTGTACGGGAGAAGGGTGATAAGGTTTTTAGGGAGCGCTCAACGCGACTACTGGCTGCTTCATCACGGACGATCCGGTCGCCGACGACTACTTCCCCGCAACCGACTTCTTCCCCGACATCCACGACCTCCTCGACGACATGGCAGGCGAGGACACCAACCCCAAGTCCAGCGCTTCTGCAGCTGCTGTGCCGTACGTGCTCTTCTCCTTTCTATTAGAAGTCCTGCTACAGTTCTTGGCTCTAGTTTCTGCCCTACGTATGTTAGGTTTTATGTCATTTAAGCAACTTCATCTAGTGTCTGTTCTAGATGTGTTTAGCTCAAGTTCATATATGCAGACGATGTTTATCTTCTCTCTGTCAGATTGCATGACTTGCTTTATATTTGCTATATTAGTCATGCTTTATCTAGTATTTCCGCTAGCAAAATTATTTGGTAAATTGCTTATATTTCCAACAATCCAAAAACCTTACTATAGGCAATTTACACCAAGTGGTTTTGCTGCTTCCATGAGACCTCCTATATTTGAGGGTATCCACTATAAGAGGTGGCGCGTGAGAGCAGTCTTATGGTTTCAAACCATGAGTTGCTATGACGCCACTCTCGGCAA